CTGAAATGAAAAGATTTCCCGCTAATTTAAATCAGTACAGCAGACTAAACAAGATTCCCAACGTTTTCAACAATTACCATAATTAAAGATGTCTTTGCAGAATAAAGCCTAGGCTGGTTCTCTGTTGCCTGTCACTAGGTAGATATTCCCATCTCTTCACATCAAATGAAATGTCAAATGTTTCAAACTCAGAATGGTGGCAGCATAAGCCAACCTTGCAGCAGTGAATACTATTCCCATGGTTTAGAATAAAGTGGTAAAAAATGGCATATGTAAAGGCTGGAGAGGAAAGATGCTGCTTAATAAACAGCAGTCAACTACAGGCATGGACTTGAAATACTTCTGAGGTAACCTGGGTGGCAAGGCAATACCTGTTGGCCTCTACAACAGTTTGTTGTTGCTGAAAAGTGTTGTGCAAGAGAATAACAACTCTTTTTATTTCCAATTTAAGACACGAACAGTCTTTAAATACACACAGACGTACCCACTGGGGATGAAGTTTGCATAAGTAGGCTGGTTCAGTGAAGCAGCACATACGCAGTAAGCAGTCAAGTTACTTTTGTTTTAAATTAAAGTCCTGATAAAATTTTGTCTGGAGTGCACGCAAGCTAACTGGGTGAAATTCCAAATGTGTATTTTATGGGATTTCACCTGCAAAAAGCAGGCAGGTCTCTTCAAGTCATGTGACATGACTCAAGTACAGCTTTGTGGGAATTTCCCTCAGAAGTACTATTTTCGCTCGGAAACTCTACAAAAAAAAGCATGAACCTAATCATTTTTCTAATCCCTCTTCCAAAACATCAGCAACAAAACAACCATCCTTTTGCCCTATTTCCCCCAAAAAAGTATTCTCAGAAAAAGAGCCATTTCAAGTAAAAAAATATAAAAATCTAAATTTACTTGCTGTTAAAATCTTCATACAAGCTTGCCTGGAGTTCAGCTAGCACGAGTGACTTTATTGTCACTTCACAGCCACCACTATAAGCTTCCAAAAAAACCTGGTGCATGTGTTTCTGAAAACTTCCTACACATGAAGCATTTTGTATGGAGCACTCTGCTCTCCATCTGCACCGTGCTTTTCACCGGCACACAGGAGGGGCATCAGTCTGGAGTGCTGTTTTCCCCCGACGTGAGACAGCAAGGTGCAGGATGACTGGAAGGACAATCCCCACACCACCTCCAGCTCAGGGCCCAGCATGCTTTACAACGCTGCGGTGCAAATTCAGAAGTATTATTCAAATGCAATGTACCCTCTGGGGCCACAAAGTCAGACCGAGGGTTGACAAAACCCAAGGAGCAGAGCGCCCAGCGCGTTCACAATTTGTGGCTACACATGTGGGTTTGGGCTGGGGCTCTTCAGCTCCCAAAAGCAGAAAAAATCCTTGTTCCAACAGGTCTCTGCCACCGATACAAAAGCAAATAACCTGCAGAGAAGGTCTTTTGTGTGGGCAGCAGAGAGAAAGGCATGGCCTGATTCTCACTCTCATTTTATAGCACCAGGTATACCTCCAAGCTACTCAGGTTACTAAAGAACCATCAGAGCTGTGTATCTTTCTAAGTAATCACCATCATATCTCATTTTTACTAGCAGAGATAAGGAATATCTTTTGTTACCATTAGCAGGGAGATAGGTGAAAAGCTGGTACTGGCTTCTCTTTCTCTTTCCGTTGCAGACATAGAAGTTGACCTGAACAGGGCTGGTAATTCTCTGATTGCGGAAAGGTGGTATCTCAACAACCAATGAATTCTGCAAAAGCAACAAATCAGAAAGTCAAGGCACGACTAAGGCAGTCGAGCTGTACAACAGTATTCACACTTAACCCCGAGAAGGAGGTGCCTGGGCTTACAAGGAGGAATACACCCTCTGCAGGAGGACGGGCGGGCTTCGTGGGCAGAGACGGCCTCCCGCCACCCCCAGTGTCTGTGCCAAGGACTCCAGAAGTAGGGACAGAAGGTTTTAGCATGGCTCAGGTCTTTACAAAATCACTAGCTGTCATCTCTTCCCTTTGGACAGCAAATAACAATATTGTGTATGGACAAGGCTCTATCCCTCCTGCCTCTGACAAGAATCTGGGGCCACCATCAAATTGTGGACTCTAGCTCAGCAGGAGAAAGCACAACTGCTTGGCTGGCAGGACATCCCCAGTATATCTCACTCTAACACAACTTCCTTTGAAAGGAGAATTAGGACAGGCATATGATTATTCAAATATTTCCATCTTCCACAGGGAACTGCTTTTTCATGTAACAACTCAGGAAGTTTTAAGCATGCTAGTTTCTGTGGATGGGAGATCTTGCAAGAACAACTAGTGCTAGAGGAAGAAGGGTTGCAGAGCACGCAGATGATCTTCCACTGTCCGAAACCAAATGCTCCAGCACGGGGCTAAGGAACGACTTAGCTGTTAGGGCATCAGCTTACACAAACGCACAGTGAAATCTGCTATGGCCATCAAAACCTCCCTTGGCACTTTCTGAAAGAATAAAAGGGAACGCTCGTCTTAGCGTTTGGCCTGCATTCAGCTGAAGTCTTTAAATTGTTTGCCTGCATGTCTCCAGCAGGTTTGCAGCTAACAAACTGTTGCATATTCCTGCAGAGGTCGACTAGCGGCCGTATTTCCCATTTATAATCGTGGCTGAGGGAACCACACTTCTCCAACCGTGGGGCGGATCTCCTGTGAGGGGACTCACATTTCTTCTGCTGAAGGTAGACGAAAGCCAAGGAAAATGATCAGAAATTGCTTTGGGAGCAGAGAGAAGAACCGACCCAGCAAGACAGAAGATGAGCAGACGGGGCTGGCCCATCCCGGACAATGAAAAAATATTTTCCAAATGGTCTCTCCTACTTTCGGGATAGCTTCCAAAGAAGGCTTTTTACCCCACGCTCCCGTTAAAGAAAGATTTCCAGAAGGTGAGGCCTAAGTACTTGTTCTGTTTCAGTGGGGAGACACAGTGCCAAAGCCTTGGAAATCCCTCTTTAGTAACAGTGCTGGAGAAGGCAATATATATTTTTCATCTTGATGTTAAAATATTTAAGGCAGACTTACTGGCTTGCACATTTCTTTGTCGGTTTTGGCTTCCATTTCCCACACATGGTGACCATCTAAAAGACAAAAGAAAAAGATATCTAGTTCCGTCCTTTTTTCCTCTCCCAAGCCTACAAAAGAATGACTTTTGCAAAAAAAATCTCTTTGAAGGGGCACTGCATATATGAAAACCAGCTCTCAAGACGCATTGCCCAAGTGTGGCCCAACCAGGAGGCCACCTGGGTAACCCATGACAGGAGTCCACTTAGCTTTTCTGAAGGGAGGAACCACAATCCAGAGCACACGAGACTGCAACGGGGGAAAGCCCCCAGGAGTTTATTCTGCTATCAGTTTGGACAAAATATGCAAATGTTCTACACCTTAGTTTCCCAAACTTTCAGTCAAAAATACGGCTACCTATGAGGCCTTTTGATCACTACCTATGCAGTAAGTCATATTTAACATCAAGATTAAACAAAACAAAACAAGTAGTATTAAGGAAGCTCCTCAGCCATGCAGTACTTAATTTTAATATACTCCTAGTCTGGCTTGTCATAATTCTGCTGCTTGGATCAAAAGGCAAGGCCACAGGCTGGGAAACATAGCTTTTGACTCCATTTTAAAGTTGGTTTAGGTCAGCTACAATGGTCCCCACTACAGTTTTCTGGAGCTGCTTCTAGTGGTGTCTTGGGTCCTCCTAGTTCACCATATTTCTGTTTCCAAAACATGGATTTAAGCCACAGCTATCACTTTTTCTGGGAACTGGTCTTTTGGAAGGAATTGGTTTTGTCTGGTCATTTAACCTGCACCTCACTGATACAGAAGTCACTGGTCAATAATAGGGTTTTTTTTCCTCCCTTATGGCTTCAAAACGCAACAGCAAAGAAATTAGAAAAATAATACAAATCGTGAGGTTTCCATTCTGCAGGCCTAGAAAAACACAAATGTGTATGAAGGGCCACAAGCAGACTGCTAAGTTGGGCAGTGGGGACACATGCAGCTTCATGAGTCCTACCATTGTCAGATGTCACCGGAATGAAAGGGAAAACGAGACTTTATGTCATCTCTTTTGTATATTTATTGCAGCATCAGGACATGCAAATGCAAATATTAGTTATTTTGAACTTCATCACATAGACATGGGCCTGCCTTAGAAAAACAGCTCTCAGCAAGGTAAAAGAGTGAATGCACTTTTTCTTCTCTCTTCGCTTTCATGGCCAGGATGGATATGACGCATTTAGAACTGGCTGATTTATTACAAATCTCTGTAAATAACATTTTTGTGTACAGCTGTCCTACTGTGAAAGGAATGCTGCTCAGGGACTAGTCCTGGCAATTGTTTTAACGTCCAAAACCCCTTTCTTTTCAACGCACGGGAAGAAGTGCAACCTGAAAGCTGCAGCACAAATAGCACGGTGGATTTGGCAGGTCTTTCTGTAGGAAACAATTAGCAGATCCACCCTTAGTTTCTTCCTACATTTTAAATCGTGACAGTGGAAAAGGAATCCCTTTAATTGGTACTGCCACGTTCGGCTGGGGGCAGAGAAGGAGCAGCCAGACGGTGGTCGAGTCTCCTAACGATGCCTTTTGAGAGCGCCAGGACTGAAGCAGACTTCTTGGGAGGACTGGCGATCGCTCCACAATTTATCCAACAGATGCTTCCACCGAGCTGTCAGCAGAAAAAACCTGACCGAAATTCAGCAAGCCAGAACAGAGCAGCCTCCTTTACCTCTCCCCCCCGCCCCACAGAGCCCCTGCAGCCCTCCATTCCATGCCCGGCCCCCCCCCCAAATAATTCAATCAGTTGTAAAAGTAAAACAACACCGACCCTATAACCATTTTGCAAAGTCTAGGAACTTCTGCTTTGTAAGGGGTTTGCTGGTGGGTTTTTTTGAAATCTACAGACATCCAGACTAGTAGTTAACATGTGTTCAATTTGCCTTTGCAAACGGATTACCAGAAGTTCAGGTTTTTTGCTATGTTTAATTTCTGCTTTGCAAGACGAATGATCTGCTTCAGGTTTCTGTTTTTTATTTCCTGCCGATACTTCAGTAAAATTCGAAACGACTCCATCTCTAGCTAATCTTTCAATTACTTCACACAACACTGCCTTTACGTGCTTTTGAAATTTTTATGATGACACAGAGAGTTTGTTCAGAAATATTTTAAATGCTGTAATCTAAACTATTACGAAAATAAAACTCCAGAGCTGTGGCTCGTCTTTGGAAGCTAATAAGAACAATACGGGTTTCGCGCCAAGAAATTCCCTTGAGATCGTCCAGACCATCGCTGCTCAGCGACTGAGGAGAAGGGGAAGAGAGGGAAGAAGTAGGGAATAGACAACTCATTAACAGCTAGTGACATTTCATTTAACGAAAACACAGGCAGGAAAAGTTGTTATGAAGTAAGAGACAAAAAAAAAAAAAAAAAAAAAGAAGACAATTCCTCATATTACGTCTGGTGAACCAAGAGGGAAATCTCAACGCCCACGGACTGGGACCAGCTCCAGGAGGGAAACCTTAGACCACTACGTCAACCTCTTACAGTAAACATGTTTTGCAGGTTTATACAGTTCAGCTGAAATTAAAAAAAAAAAAAAAAAGAAAAGAAAAAAAAAGAGAAAGGGACTGTTTGTGGGAGCCTGAGGCATCAAGGCAATCTGCCTACGCTGGAGAGAAGGGTTTTGCCCCCGGTGCCCGTACGCTGGGGACCCTGGCGAGCAGGCGGGATGCCGCCTCCCGTCAGCGCGCGCTGGAGGAGCGAGGGCTGCTCCACCACAAAAGTTTCCATTGTACGGCTGCCACATCTGCAGCAGCCCGCCTGGTTCGGGGCCCGAGGCAACTCCCTCCTGGCCACCCGCCAACCAAAGTACACCAGAGCAATTTATACCTTTCCAAAATGCAAATAATTCAAATTACAGACATAACACAAAGCTGAAGCAGACACATTTCAGGCATTCCCGTTAAAGTTTACTCTCTGGAATTACCGTACCCAAATGGGCAGTTGTTATACGGGGAAGAGGGGAGGCAGAGGCAGGAGAGGAAGGAGAGGAGGAGGCAGGGAGGAAAAGGGAGAAAACGGCTTTTCCAAAGGTCTTATTTCATTCCCTTTCATTTCACTATTTACTTTTACCAAGTAATAAGTGTCTTCTCCAAACCAAATGCCTGGCTTTGTTTTGGCGCTTTTAAGATTTATAGTGCAATATTTTGAACGGAAAGACATCTCTTTATATAGCTAAAAAGTTGTGTCAAGGTATTATACTGCGTTTGTTTTATTTTGTGGGTTTTTTTTTTTTTTTTACAAAAAGGAAATAAACCCAAAACATCCGCACGCAGAACCACAGGGCAAGAGCCCTGCAGAGTCCCCGGCGGAGCGCCCCGCTCCCCCGGTGCCAGCAGAACAGCAGTTGGCCCAACAATGCCAAGGCTTCACCTGGAGACCTGTGCCAAGGGCTGGAAGAAGGACCCTCGAACCTCTCCTCCTCGGAAGAGGCAGGGTGCGAGCGCAGCGTGCTAGGGGAGCGAGAAACCCCCCGCTTCACCCCGGCTCTCCGCCTGCGCCAGGGCTCGGCGCTGCGCTGACAGGTGGCCATCAGCTCTGCCACCAGCTGAAGACACCGGGTTTTGTCAGGAAGCCTGACATTTACACACCGATCGCCGTTATTTATAGCCGTCCCTGCCCCGGGTGTACTTCACCATCAGTCGCTTCAGCCTGGCTGCTTGGGGCTTTTTTCAGCGCTGTGACATTCGGAGCACCGGGGATTGCTAATGATGAAACCACTGCGAACCTACCACGGTTGGTGGGGCGGATTGTCAGCTTCGGGAAGCATAAGTACCCCATTTTAACATGCGGTGGCTGAAGGGTGAATGGGCTTTTGTAGTCTGCTCTTATCAGCAGCTCGCTCTGGCCTTAAAGGAAACTGCGCACAAGTCCAGAAGTAAAAATACTCTGAATTCATCAGGGAATTCCCTGCAGTATGAGTCACTGAACGGCTTCCCCACCACACCCAGCTACAAGATTTCCACATAAAAAGGCACTGTAGAGGCCTGTTTTAACACAGAAGCAGCACTAAAAAGTGGCTGTGTAAATCTAGCGGCATCAGTTGCTCACACATAAAGCCTAGCGGACCACGACGTATGGATTTTCTTCCTGGAAGAGCAACACAGAACTGTAAAGACTTTCCAAAGAAACTTTTCTACCCTCTTCCCCTCCTCGCTGCCCATCGGGACAGATCCCCCAGGGTTTCCAGGGCTGGGTTTACCTTCATACCCCAGGGAACCGCAAGCATAGTGCCAGGGGTTCGCAAACTCACAACAGTCAAACCACCAGCGTAACTTTCATTATAGACCAATGGATGGCAGAAAGGGGAAAGAATATGGAGTACCAAAAAACCCCCAAGCCTGGAAACTCAGGAGGGTATAACATCTGGCAACCACTTAAATCTTGCCTCTGTGAAACGGGTATAATGGGAGCATTCAGATATGTTTAAGTGATTTCACTTTACTACAGGAGGTTAAAACAGTCTATATTCTTTAGTAGTCCTGTGTTCACTTGAGATACGAGAACAGACCTTATCTAGGGTTTCACAGCCTGTACACAGAGTACATCTTACACTCTTCCAGCCTGCAGCTCAACAGAGTTTGACTGCACTGGCTGGACCATAAATCTGTGTTTACATTTGTATATCACAAGTAAGATGGTAAAACTAGCTCTGCCCTCCCAAAGGAACCTCCAACTTGATTAATGTGTTGTGAGATTACTCTAAACAATAAAGCCTGTATTACATCCCAGATTACTTTAGCATGTCCACAACAGGCAGGGCACAGATGCAATGCAGAACAATTATACAGCATAATTTTGAGGCGCGCTGCAAAGGCTGTCTACCTTCCTATTGTGCCCTGCTAATTCACATTCAAATCCCTTAGGAATGAAGGATTTGCAAGTTTTCAATTTGCACCCCAACCCCTTTTCCCTGGGAAGTACACTCACGGTGCCGAGACGACTGATCTGTGAACAGGTCCAGAAGGAAAGAATGGGTTTCCAGCCAGAGAAGAGGATGAAGACTAAGGCAAAGTCT